TTTAATTATGGCTCAGAACTTATTCTACATCTTTTTATAATTTCAATCTCTTTATTAATGGTTGATCTTTGATGAAGCATTGTCATGGTATTTTTCTTAGCTTCATTAATCGTGATTTTCTTTAGCTGTTGAACATAATTTTAATGACTGGTTTGATATCCTTGTCTGTTCAATGTGATATCTGGGCTCTTTCAAGTCTGTTTCTGTTACTTGCTTTTCCTCTGTGTATGGGGCTTACTTTCCTATTTCTTTATATGTCTCATTTTAAAAAAAATTTTTAAACTTTTTTATTGATTTATAATCATTTTACAGTGTTGTGTGAAATTCCCATGTAGAGCTCAGTTTTTCAGTTATAATAATTTTTTTTGTTAAAAATAGACATTTTGGTAATATATTTTAGCAACCCTGGATACTGATTTCCCCACCCTCCTTTCTAAATGTTGAAAATTTGTGGCCCTGTATCTAACTCAGAGTCTTTTTTATTTTACAGTTGTAAATAGAGTGATGTTGTCTTACAGCCCTTCAAAAGGGATAGGAGTAAAGCATTCAGGGACACTGTTCATAAGGAACTGTGCCACAGAGTTCCATGTAAGTTTTTTCCTGTAAGCCTGAGGATCAGAATCTCTTGCTCACTGAGGCACAGGCAGCAGCACCAGCAAAGGTGTCTTAGCAAAGGGTCTTAGGAAACCATCTGGTTTTACGAAGGTAGACTTAGCATGCCATGTGGTGACTGCACTTCCTTCAAGGAAGCAATCACCCCGTGGACCTCACTATTGCACGGGATGTCAGTCTCCTTCTTAGTGCACTTTAGAATAGGGGCCAGTACCTAGTTGAAACACACAACTAGTGATCACAGAGTACGAGCCGTTCTCCTGAGCATAGCACAGTAATGACTTATGCTTGGAATTGAGACATATGATTCACTCTGAGATTGATAGATTTGGGCCAAGACACATGCATGACCCAGAGCTGCTTTAAGGGAGACTTCAATCTCATTCTTCTAAATGCCAATTATAAAAACTTCTGACTTAGGTCAGTTTCTAACACAGGTTTGGTAGGACTCGGCAAATACAGCACAAAGCAGCCAAGTTCAAAGCAAAAACTCTCTAGCAGGCAGAAGTATAGGTCAAACAGCATGCCTTCCAGCTGGCAGCAACTCAAAATTCACAGTTGCCAAAGGCAGCAGGGCTAGTTAGCAGCCAAAGCATGAGAGGAAAGAACCCTGATTGTGATGGGCATTGTGTAGACACTTGGCTCAGATTTTTGCAGCCACCCTACAGCTGTGGGATAGACCCTCAAACCAAAATTTGGTTTGGATGTCAAGACTGATGCTACCACACATGCAGCAAGAGGGTATGGAAAGGTTTATTACTCACATAGAGAGATTTTTCTGGGGAAAACAAGGTAGATTTCCAAGCAGGTCTCAGAATGGGTTGAGAGATCATGGAGGGGAAACTGGCTGGAGTTTTTATTGGGCTCAGAAAGTGGGGCTGTGTAAGGGTTCCCAGGCACGGGCAGGGGCTTGTGTGATTTAAACTTCCCACCTCTACAAAGGAGGGGACACCCAGCAAACATCGAAAATGGAGTCAGATTCTTTATTATGCTGTATTATATGCTATTGTGTAACAAACTACCACAAATTTTGCGGGACAACACGCAGTTGTTATCTCAGTTTCCAAGGTTCATGAATCTGAGCACAGCTTTGCTGGGTCCTCTACTTCAAGGTCTTTCATAAGGCTACAGTCAAGGTATGGGCCAGGATTTACCCAAAGGCACAACTGGAGAAGGATCACTTCCAAGCTCACATGATCATGTGCAGGATTTAGTTGTTTTCAGGGTATTACACTGAGGATCCCAGTTTCATGCTGGTTGTTGGCCAGGGTCCACCCTCAGCTCATTGCTGTGTGGGTTTCTTCAATATGGCATCTGGTTTCATCAAAGCCAGTCAACAGAGTCTTCTAGCAAGAAAGAATTTATAATAGTTTATAACTTAATAGTGTAAGTGACTTCCGTTATGCATTCTATTGGTTAGAAGTGAAGTTGCTGGGGGAGGGTATAGGTCAGTGGTAGAGTGCATGCTTAGCATGTACAAGGTCCTGGGTTCAATCCCCAGTACTTCTGTTTAAAAAGAAATTAACCTAAAATTATTTCCACCTATTAAACAAAAATTTTAAAAGTAAACAAATTTTTAAAATTTTAATTAAGAAACAGTGAAACCAAAAAAAAAAAAAATTAAGTTGCTAATTCAACCCACACTCAAGGGAAGGGAATTACACAAGGGCATGAATACCAGGAGTCAGGGTATCACTGGGGGACATCTAAGTCCTTCTTCCACAGGATCTATGACCATTTACTTGAGCAACTGTATGCTGGAAAAAGAATACTCAGACATCTAGAAAACTAGCATAGAAAGGGTCTGAGTTCACAATGATACCTAGAGACCTAAAGCATTACTGTGGTCCACACGTTAGAACAGGCATATATGGAGGTCAGGTAATAAATGGATTCCTGGCCAGAATCTGGCTTACAATAGAACTATTGGGTCCACAGACTATCTGGTGGTCATTTTAGGATCCCTGAATTTATATAAGTATTGACATATTTTGGAGTTGGAGTTACTCCACATGTTGGGTCCGTGGCTTGTAGTGTAATAGCTTTCATAGTGGAAAAGATCAAGAAAGCTCTGAGATTACCCCTTGTCCTCTCAAGCTACAATAGTAGATGAAAAAAAAAAAAAAACAAAAACCTGTAACATCCCAGGAAGACGGCAGAGTTTAGTGCCATCCTAAAGATCAAAAGGATGTAAGGTTGGTGGTCACTATTATCTCACTTCATTTGTCCTTTGTGAATTCCCTGGTGTTGTAAGGATTTTAGCTGTGGCTGTAAGCTTTTCCATATTCATCATTTTTGTATGACCAGTGAAGGTAGAGGCCTTAGGTAAAGTTATCCCCTGCCCCCTTTATTATACTCATATAGTATAAAAGAATTAGAATTCTCTAATGTTGAGCAAGGAAGATGCTAGGTGCCTCCCTTTCTCTAGCATGACTTTGATTTCAAGTAAGGCATTCCTATGGCTAAAGGAAATCTCACATTTATTACATGTATCTGGCATTATATTAAGATTTGAGCTGTGGCTAAAAGCCTTTGGACATGCATTATATATGGAGTCCCAGTTTTTACAATATTCATAGTTCCCCTCTAGCATGAATTGTCTCATTTCAACCATCACCATATTGATAATATTTACAGTTGTTTTCCTGCAGAGTGAATTATCTCATGTTGTGAAAGTTCTGAATTGTTTGGTAGTATCCACCAAGGCTCGCTGAACATACATATACCCCAGGACCCAGCAATTCTACTCCTAAGTATATACACAAGAAAAATGAATGAAAGTACACCAAAATATAAGTATGTTCACAGGAGCATTGTTTATTATGACCCTAAGCTGTAAACAATGAAAAAGTCCATTAACAGTAAATTGGATAAATTGTAATATAATCATATAATGGAATTTTATACAGAATGAAAATAAATAAACTTCTGCGACATGCACTAGTGATGAGTTTTAGAGACAGTGATGAATGAAACAAGTCATGTATGAAAGAATACATAGTGTGTAATTTAATTTATATAAAGGCTTATAATATGCAAAAACTAATTTATAATGTTAGAAGTTAGAACTGTGGCTAACTCTGAGGAGGTCGTAATTAATTTTCTTCCATATTTGCAGTGAGAAATACAGTTCACACCTTTTTTTTTAAAGCACTTCTGCTCACAGTGTGGTCCATGGCCCACTGCCAGACAGCCTACCGTTTGTTAGTGGGTCACAACAAAGTGTGTATGGGAATTGAAAATAAGCAATTTAAAATGTTTGTAGAAATTTGACAGAGAAGGTTATGTCCGGTGAATATAATAATAAAAAATTGAAGCTTGTATTTTTAATGACTTTTGTCATTTCCTTTGTCTAGTAATTCTTCTTGTGTGTTTTAAAGTCTAGCAGATAGTAGGTAAATATGTGGTATAGTACCTTAAACTGTTTAATATTATTACACTTACAAGCAATATCATGTATAGGGTTTACTATGACTTTAAAATTTTTACCAAAAAAGTCACATCTTTTACTGAATTCCCATAGTTTCTATCTTGTGAGTCTTCTGATGGACAATGAGGTTTGACTTACAACTGAAGAACTTCCCACATTCTTTACATTCATACGGTTTCTCTCCTGTGTGGGTTTTCTGATGGCGAATGAGATTTGATTTCCTACTAAAGGCTTTCCCACACTGAGGACATCCGTTGGATTTCTCTCCTGTGTGTATTCTCTGATGAACAGTGAGGATTGCCTTCTGGCGGAAAGACTTCCCACATTCGTTACAAATATAGGGCTTTTCCCCCGTGTGAATTCTTTGATGCAGAGTGAGGGTTGTCTTTTGGCAGAAGGACTTCCCACATTCATTGCAAATATACGGTTTCTCTCCTGTGTGAGTTCTCTGGTGTACAGTGAGGGTTGTCTTCTGGATAAATGCCTTCCCACATTCATTGCACTGATACGGTTTCTCTCCTGTGTGTGTTCTCTGATGATCAATGAGGTATGACTTCTTTCTAAAAGCACTTCCACACTGAGTACATTCATAGGCCTTCTCTCCTGTGTGTGTTTTATGATGCCTAGTGAGGGTTGCCTTCTGGCGGAAGGACTTCCCACAATCCATGCAGATGTAGGGTTTTCCCTCTATATGTGTTTTCTCATGAAGAGTGAGGGCCGTCTTTTGACGGAAGGCTTTTCCACATTGATTGCAAACATAAGGTTTCTCACCTGTGTGAATTCGCTGATGTTCAATGAGGTATGACTTCCTTCTAAAGCTGTTACCACAGTAAGGACACTGAAAGGGTTTCTCTTCTGTTGGAGATCTCTGATGCATGATAAAAACGGACTTTCTACAGAGGAATTTCCCATATTTGTTGTATGCATGGGGCTTCTTCTCTGTAAGATTTTGTTGGTGGACATTGAGATTTGACTTTTCAAGGAAGGCTATTCCATCTTTATTGTATTCAAAGGGTCTTTCTCCTCTGTGAGCTCTAGTATGTGTAAATAACATTCCTTTCATGAGGAAGGGTTTTCCACATTCATTATGTTCAAATGACTGCTCAGGAGTCTGAACCTTCTGATGTTGAATAAGGTCCTGTTTATCACTCAGGCTTCTTTCTGTTTGTCTACAGAGGTTAACTGCAGTATGAATTTTCTCATGCTTCGTATTAAGGAGTGTTTTCTCCCATCCATTACTCTCACCAAACTTCTCTCTTACAGGGCTTATATTTCTGATGACTAATCCTGAAATATTTTTAAAAACCTTTCCATCAGGTTTATATTCACGTAGTGTTGTTTTTGAAATAATACGATTCTTGCTGACAGTGAATGTTTTCCCCAAAATATTACTTCTCTCCTTCATTAGTCCTTTGTGGTTGAGGAATACAGCTGATCTAGAATGCCTTTCTTGGTATTCTTTGAATTTCACTAAAACATCTTCAGCTTTCCCATCGTCTTCTAGAAAAAATAAAATTAATAATTCTAAGTCTTCACATAATGTTATGAGTTAGATACATATACAAGCAACCCATGATGGGACTGTCTGTCTCACTATTAGAGTCTATACAAAGGCCAAAATAAATTACCTCCTGGAAGGAAAACGCATAGAACAGAAACAAACCCTGCTACACTGTTAAAATGAGGAAAAATTGGTATAAACATAAGCAAACAACACATGTCTTTGAAATGTTGTAGATGTAAGTTACACTGAGCAGGTGTAGTAAGCAGAAGGCCAAGTCAGCAGAAGATGAAGGATGGGGAGAGTGCGATTGCTCTCGGAACGGGCAGGGTCAGAAATAATGAGGTGAGCCTATCAAGGGTAATAAGCAGTAAGCAAGGAAACTGTTCAGGTGGAGATGAAAGC